CCATTGTCCTCCTTCCCTTCCTCTTATCATTTCAGTCTTCATCATTGCTATTAGTCCCCAACGATAAGTGCAGAGAATGCCGCCATTTTATGACCACCTACCAGCTTACCATTTCCCTGCTTTCCCTGCCTCTCTCAGCATTGGACTGAATAGGCCACAATCTACTGCAATTTGCTGGAGCAATTTCTGCTGTGCCTTCAGCCTGTGTCTAACAATAGCAGGAGAGAGAGAGAGAGAAAGATTATTCTCAAGAGCAATTATTTTCTTTCCTTTTCTCTCTCTCTATCTCATTCCTTTTCCTTGTCTCTTTGTAATAGTTAATGTTATTTTAATAAAATTGTGCACATTATATCTTATATTATACTATGTCTCCCATCAACTTATCTGAAATAGACACACTTCTCTCATTTACAAGGAAAGAAAAATATGCCTCTCTCTTTTTTTAATTTTATTTAATTCCCACACGCACAAAAGAGGTTTCTGTAATATCTTAATCGGCAATGAAATTAAATGGAGAACTAATGGAGACTTTTGCTTAGGTGTTCATACTCAGATTTTAGTCTTTTTCTCAGGTTTTTCTCATAAGAAAAAGATAATGGTAATCTCAAATGTTAGAAGAGCTTCAAAATAGACCTCAATAATACTGTGCTCAGCTTTAAATAATCAGAGATGTCGACATGAGCTCATATTTCAAAAACTTGATGTAGGCTATGCTGTCCACGTTAATTTAATTGGTCAGGATTTTTAGTATAAGCACAAATGTGTGTGTGTGTGTGTAATATGTATGTATGTATATATATATACATATACTGTATAACATAATATAAAGCCAACAAGCTCAATCATTTTACCACTATTGCTCTTTAGAATTATAAAGGATTATAAAACAAGGTGAATTAAACACAAACTGAGAATTTGATTTTGTCTCCTGAACTAAGTGTAATATTTGTGCATTAAAATATTCCTCTGGGCACATTTCTCATAACAGCTAAACAATGTTGTTTACTTTATTCCAAAAACATATGCAAACAAATAAAAGAAAAAAGTACTGACAGCTCATTAAATGGAAATGTATCCATTAATTTTAAGGACATTTCCGTTAACTCTAAAACAATGCAATGCAGTGTAAAATTCCAAATACTGGTAAAACATGAAAAATAAATTCCTTTCAGAACATTGTGCCCTATTTTGACTTTTACTTCTTAATTTTATTATGATTAATTTCATTGTTGCATGGTATTTTATTCACAATTTGTTTGTTCACTGTGTGGTTCTCAGTATATAGTGAATGAGCGAATAACTAAGTGATTTCATTCTCAGATTTGTAGTGCCTCAGGTTGCATTTAGTATTACTGCTTCTGTTGTTGTAGTGGATTTCTCAGCTGCATCTGTATTTACTGTAATCGTATGCCATTCACACTATAGTCCTGTCAGATGCTGTTACCTTCATTTCATTTTCTAGTCAGATGTATATTTTGGCATGAGGTTGTCCTCCTTCCTGCTGTTGGAACAGAACTGAAGTGTGTGTGTGTGCGATGAAGGTGGAAATTTATTGCAGAGAATCCTGCAGGGATCCCTGATTCTGTTTAATTCAGAAAATGCAGGCACTTTAGGAAGGTGATATGACACACGCTGACACGTTTATTGACACAAATACTAATTTGAAAGGAAACTTGAGAGCTGGTTTGTTTATTGCATTTGACAAAAAGCCGTTTGAAAGTGCATTAGTGCTTGAGAGAGAAGGAGATCTTGATTATGTGGATGGTCTTAAGGGTCTTTTCACTTGGAGCATTGATTAACAGTGTACTGCGTTTTCTCCCTCAGTTTGGTTCAGGTTTGAAACCACATCAGAACAACTGAGAGTTTGCCGTTTGTTGGCCAACAGTCAGAATTAAAGTATTTATGAAAGCTCAAATGTATTTCATCTACAGTATATGGAAAGTATCAGCAGTTTACACATTTGGATGTCTGTGCTCTTACCTGCAGCAATGTGTCCCATCATTACTTAGCTTTTTATAGCTCATTGAACAAGTATGAAAATATTGTTTAAACCCTTTGCGATAAAGAGCTTATTTGGATTTTTTTCAAAATTATCCATAACCCACTATGGTCTGAGGGGGTTTTGGGGCCCTGGAGAAGTTTTGACATGCCCTGACATTTGTGCTTTTTGCAGTATCTTAAAAACATTGATGTCTAAAATCTGATTACACTGTAACTGCACAAACTGTGCTATAATAATACTGTATGGTGTGAGCAGCAGCATGAATTAATGAATACTGTGTCCTGAAAAAGGGACATTTTTTGTATAGCATTTAGTTTATCATGGGATACATGAAAGCTATATGGCTATGCAGTGATTCCCCTGCCATTATTTTGGGGGGGGCGGCCCCCCAAAATATTTAAATATGAATTCTGCGTGTCTCTGTGTTAATGAATGGCGCAGATGCGCGGTTTTGTGTAGTACTCGTACTGAAACGCTCGTGACGCTTCCGGTGATATTAACTTCTGTCATCTCACTAATGAGGACATAAACACATGAATAACATCTCCAGAACTGCTCTGAGAGTCACTTCATCAGCATTTGACCGTTTCATTTCAGTAAAACTATCCTCATATCATACACACACAGAAATGTAA